CGAGAGCACCCTCTTGGCATCGCTCGGACGTGTGCATTTTTCCTTCGGCGAGGGCCATCGAGGAGCATCCTTGATCATTTGACGAAAAAACCACGCACGAAACCGAAAAAAGCACAGAGAACGGACGTCCGAGCGATGGCCAGCCCTCCGAAGCGGCCTTGGGAGGGAGGGAGGTTACAAAACTCGAGAGGAAGGCCTTCCCTCGACCGACCTGAGTTGAGGTCGGGCATGTCCCTCTACAGGAGGAGTATTAGAAAATTGTATGGGGGCGATGTTTCAATTATGTTTGAATATTGTTGAGCATTATTGACTATTTCTTATCTTTCTGGCAAAATCCGCCTGTAGGAGGACATGCCCGACCTAAACCTAGGTCTTCCTATAGTCCATAGGCCTACCCCTGAGAGGGAGGGAGGGAGGGAGGGAGGGAGGGAGGGAGGAGAGAGCACGATCGCCACCGAGTGGCAGGCCGACCCTCCAAAGTCAGGGGGACTCGCTTGCCCTCTATACATAAATATAAACATATATTTGTGTATGTATGTGTATGGATGTGTAGATGCATTGGTGCATATATATACATATATACATGTGTGTAAGTGTGTATGTAAATATATGTGTATATATGTGTGTATGTATGTACGTATGTATGTATGTATGTATGTATGTATGTATGTAGGTATGTATGTATGTGTGTAAGTATGTATGTATGTATGCATGCATGTTTGTATGTATGTATATATGTATGTATGTGTGTACGTATGTATGTATGTGTATATGTATGTGTGTATGTGTGCATGTATGTGTGTATGTGTGTATGCATGTATGTGTGCATGTGTTCATGCATGTATGTATGTGTGTATGTATACATGTAAGTATGTTTGTGTGTATGTACGTATGTATGTGTGTATGTATGTATGTATGTATGTATGGATGGATGGATGGATGGATGGATGTATGTATGTAAGTATGTGTGTTTGTTTGTTTGTTTGTTTGTTTGTACGAATGTATGTATGTATGCATGTATGTGTGTATGTATGTATGTATGCATGTGTGTATGTATGTATGTATGTATGTGTGCATGTATGCACATTGTATATATACATAGAGATATGTATATCCTTGGCCTGCTGCACCGCGTGCCCTCGGGCTTGCTCGTGCCACGTGGCCCCCGGGGCCCCGGGAGCCAGGATTCTGCAGACCTCAGGTCGGGCGCGTCTTTCTGCAGGCGAATTCTGGCAGAAAGATGGGAAAGAGTCAAAACGTGCTCAAACATAGGCGAAACATCGTCCCCTGTTGAGGGAAAGAGACGTCTTTCCTTCAACAGGGGACGACGGAGAGGAAGGGAGAGGAGAAGGAGGAGGAGGAGGAGGAGGACGAGGACGAGGACGAGGAGAGGAGGAGGAGAGAGGAAGGGATGAGGAGGAGGGAGGGGGGAGGAGGGGAGGGGGAGAGGGGGGGGGCGTTTCCCTCTTGCCTGGGCGTCTCTGCTCATGCTTTGTATTATTGTTGCACTATTTTTGTACATTCCTCCTGTTTTGTACTATTTTTGCACATTCCTCCTCCTCCTCCTCTCCCTCCTCCTCCTCCTGATCCCCCTCCTCCTCCTCCCTCCTCCTCCTCCTCCTCCTCCTCCTCCTCCTCCTCCTCCTCCTCCTCCTCCTCCTCCTCCTTCTCCTCCTCCTCCCCCCCCTCCTGTTTGTACTCCTCCTCGTGAGGGAGAGAGCGACGGAACGGAGAGTTTGCTCCCGCCCACGGCCGCAGCTCCTGCGGAGGGGTGCGCCGACGTCCTGACTCGTAGGAGTCTCCCCGGCCTGCGGGGCCCCGGTGGCCCCTCGCAGGGGCTTCTCGGGGGCGGCAGAGAGGGGGGTGATGGCTAGGGTGAAGTCGGGCCTGTCCCCCTACAGGGGGGATATTCAGAAATAGTCAAAAAATAGTCGGGGGACGATTTTCTATTATGTTTGAGCATTTGGGGGGTATTTTGTGAGTATTTTTATTTTTCGCCCAAAACCCCCCTGTAGGGGGACACGCCCGACTTAAGACTAGGGGGGGGATATCATGGCGGGGGCCATGATATTTCCCCAGGTTTCATGGCGCCTCTTCTTATTTCATTGCGTCCCTGGCCCCCGGTCATGATTTGCACACACCCCTCTTGGACACCCCCCTCTTGGCCGCTCCCGAGTTTTGCACACTGGCAAAAAAACGTACTCCTTATCCTCTGCTCCTCTCCCCCTCCCTCTTAACCTCCTGCTCGTGATGCACACTGGCAAAAAAACCTAAGCCTTATCCTCTCCTCCTCCCCCCCTCCATCCTGACCGCCTGCTCGTGATGCTCCTCTCCTGAGCGTCAGGAGGCAGCCTTGCTGGACTGGAGGCGGGAAGAACAGGGAAGAGGGGGGAGGATCCGAAAGGTGCGACGACGAGCATCACCTCACTCGCATCATTGGAGGGCCAAGTTCCAATGATGGAAGGGAGGCGGTGCAGAAGCCGGGTCGGAGTACGAGTGATCGTTTGGACATGCGGTTATGTTGTCACACTGGTCTTGTTTGTGGCATCCAAAAGGTTGTTGTCGAAACTAAGGGTCAACACATCCCAGACGTCCGACGCTACGTTTTCTCAGTCCGTTGCCCCGACCCTTCTTCGCATGCACTTTCATTTCTAGATCTGTTTTTGATGGTCCCGGCGCTCGCAAACGGCCCCCAGAGGGCGAAATCGATGGAAGATGCCGGGATGTATCAGACAATATTTCGAAGGTTTGGGATGATTTTTGATGGTACGGCTGTGTCGCGGCGGCATTGGTGCCGCCTGCAACCGCCGATGCGGCGGGCATTCCACAATGGTATCCCCAGGTGCTCGACGAGTACTTCGAGTCGCGCACGAAGATCGAGGATACGGCGACCACGCACCAGCACTTCTGCAAGGCCACGACCACTCCCCCGTAAAAAAACTGCTCGCCCGCGCGAATTCTCCTCCCACGCCTCCTCCCCCTGCTCTCTATCCTCCTCCCGACTCCTCTGTCTTCACCCCTCGCCCCGGCTCATCCTCCCCCTCCTCTTCAGAGAGCCACACATATCGGGGGCCCCCAAACGGGGTGGTGACCACAACGTGTGGTGAGTCGGTGGGGATTCGGGGTCACTGCACGGTTTTGTGTGACTCGGGTCGTTCTCCCAGGACGTCTCGGGCGACTGGGGCATCCAAGGTCCCAAAACCGTGCGTTGATGGACCGTGCGGTGAGGTCCTGGGGAATGTCGAGGTCACCGCACGGTCTGTCACCGCACCGCTTCGGGACTCCACAACGCAGCACGGCATACACTCTTCGAGAAAGTGCAGCAGCGCGCGGCGCTCCTGCTTCGTCGCTGGCCCCCCCCCCCCTTCTCCCGCACCCTCCTCTCCCCCGCACGCGGAGCGCGCCCGCGGCGCCGCCGGGGCGCGGGGGAGGAGTCCGGCGCCGACCCAGGAAGTACGCGAGGGCCTCGGCGCTACAGTGGCAGGCGATCGCAAACGGGGAGCAAGGGGGCTCCTGCTCCTCCTCCTCCTCCTCCTCCTCCTCCTCCCCCTCCTCCCCGTCCTCCCCGTCCTCCTCCTGTTCCTCCTGTTCCTCCTCTTCCTCCTCCTCCTCCTCCTCCGGGGCGGGGGGGGCAGCGCTCCTGAGGCGAGGTCCTCGGACCGTGGCCCTCGACGCAGGCGATCGCACACGTGGATCAGGGGGGCGCGGATTAGCGACGGGTCCCGTTTCCAGAGGGGAAATCGCGGATTCCCGCCGCCGAGCGAGGCGGCACCGGCCGCGTTGCGGGGAGGGCGCTGCCCCGATCCATGGATATGCCGACCGCGCGCCAAATCCATGGATCGCTAATCCATGTTTGCGCGCCCCCGATACAGTAGTTAGAGTTCCTGTCGTTTTGGGTGATCTGCCCTCCCTCCCACTCATCGACTGCTGAGCCCACTACCCTCTATAGGAGGAATATTTCATAAAAAAAAGAGTCTGGGGACGATTGTTCGATTGTGTTTGGCTGTTTTAGGGCATTTGTTGACCATTTTGCGCGCTTCTTCCAAAAACCGCCTGTAGGAGGACATGCCCGACCAAAAATTCGAGGCCTCACAGATGGGGTCGGAGTAGATGGGGTCGGAGGATCGTGCCGCATTGCCAATGCATCGGCGACGCATCGGAGATGTATCAGCGACGCGGGATCTTTGGCTTAGCGTGTCACGCCGCTAGTTCTGGCCGGGCACGCTTCGGCGCGACACGCCAACCACGTCCCAGTCCCCAAGCGTCAACGTCCCGAGCTTGTAGCAGCCTCCCGCCCCGCGGAGCGGTGCGGCACGCTATCACCTCGCAAGGCACCGCGTGTAGCCGGGGCCGCCGCTGCGGTACGCTAAGCAAAAGTTCCTGACCGCATGCTGAGGATAAGGAAATGGCACTGGCGCGTAGACTCCAAAGACGTGGGGAGGGCCGACGTCGGACGAGGCCAGGACGAGACAAATCCGTTCCAGAGCGTTCCAGGGCGCTCTCGGAGCGTTCCGAAACACTCCGGGCAGGCCGCGGCGCCCGAGACATCCTTCAGAGCCACCGGATCTCAGAGATTCTCGATGTATCCTGACCCGATGTTATCCTCGTCCTGGCGTCGTCTTAGGGCGCGGCGGCCAAGGCCAGGGCCCCGCGGGCGGGACTGCGGGCAGCCAGGGAGGGGAAGGCTGGCGCAGGGCAGCGAGGGCGGGCAGATTACGGGCGCAGCTGCCGCCAAGCCCAGCGCACAGGGACAACCGAGGTTGCGAGATCCAAGAGGCATGCCAAGAGGGCCCCCAAAAGCCGAAGTCAGTCATTTGTCGCACTTTTGCAGGATGTTGGCGTTCTCGCCTTTTCGGCTTTCCGACGCTGCAAGACGGCCCACGAGGCCCCCAAGACCACTTCAAGATGGCCCAAAAGGCCTCCGAGAGGGCCCCAAGACGGCCGAAGGGCAGCCCATGACAGCCCAAGAGGCGCCCAAGACAGCCCAAGAGGGCCCCCGTAGCCATTTTGGCTCAAGCCATTGTGCCTCAAGCTTTCCGCAGTGGGGTGCCCCGACAGCGCCCATGATCGCAACGCGGGCCTGCCGCGATCCCTGGGTCATGGCGCGCTCCTGGCTCCTCTCCATGTTGGCCGTGCCGATCGCGGAGGCGACTGTCTCCGCGGGCCGCGGCCCCTACGGCGGGGCCGCGCGCTCGGAGGCGGACGTGGGCCACGAGCAGGAGTGCGAGCACGCGTCCATCGGCTTCGAGGCCCTGCAGACGGCCTCTGCGCTGTCGAGGCCCCGCCCCATCCTCTTGCCGGACGCGGGAGGGGCAGAGAACAGCCAGCGGAGCGGCATTGAGGGCAACCCGCATGTCCCGGGGCCCAACATCTATCTCGCAGACTTCGTGGACGTCGACAATTACTGGGGCTACTGCCTCGACATCGCTGGGTCCCCGCCACACCCGCAGTGCGACAGCATCCAGGGGCACACCTGCAAGTCGGACGGTGCGGACACCCAGTTCCGGTACGACCCCGACACGGAGTCGATCGTGTCGCAGAATTTCAACGGTATATGCAACCCGATGTATGACGGGGAGCGGGACGGAAGGACATGGCAGGCAGACCTGAACAACACCCGCGGCGGTTGCCTTAGGGTCGCTGGGTCCCTCGAGGCTGGGACTGGGTTTGTCGTAGTGGAGTGCCGGGCGCCCGACTCTCTGCAGAAGTTCAGGTACACCCCGAGCAGGCAGTTCGCCGTGGTGAACACCAGCCTCTGCTTCGTCCTCGGGGTGGAGAGGACCAAGCAGGACGGCTTCTCGTCCCGCACCGCTGAGCTGCAGGACTGCGCGTCGTGGCCGTCTGAGCTGTCAACCTGGGAAGTCATCACGAGCACCCACGAGAAGTATTACCCAGAGTAGAGCCCCAGCACGGCATGGATTGGCGTCACTTCGGAGCAGCCGAGAGGGGATCCCTTGCTACTCTATGATTTCACGTCTGAACAACCCGGTCTGCTTTTTTTTTTCATTTCCAACGTGCAATTAAAGTAGTCTAAATGGCTCATTAGTGGCTACCGCGATTATAAGCTTTCTTCGAATGCATCGATCATGACGGGGTTGTCCGTTGGTAGTCCGGCGCGCTTTTGCAAGGGACCCGCTTGCATTAGAGTTGCCGCAGGAATACCCGTCATTCTTGATGGCATTTTGCGTCCTTTTCGTCTCGAAGGGTGTTTGGGCTTGTTGGCACCGCATGCCTGGGCTGTGACAGTCCCTTGCGCCTCTGTTCTCTCGCAGAGGCGCGGTGGGAGCGAGGCCATGTAATTGCGACGGCATCTGGTCCAATTTTTGTTACACTTCTCTACTTGGGGAATTTATGTATATATATTGTTTTTTTCGTAGTTGAATTTGTTGGGGTGGGACCGCAGCCATGGGCTGTGACGGCATCCTGTTTCGTAGCGCTACGTCTTCTTCCTCTCGCATTTTCTTTGGGCGCGGCGGGGCCGTGGCCATGGAGTTGCGACGGCACCCTGTCCATTGAATTCTTCAGTGTAGGAAACAAAAAAAAAAAGACGGCCCAAGAGGGCCCCAAGACGGCCCCACAAGGGCCTGTAAGCAGGAACCTGAATTGCGCGTCGTAACTTGGGGGTCCGCAAACAGTGCGGTGACCACACCGTCTGCTGGGGATTCGGGGTGACCGCATGGGCTCGGGACTCGGGTCGTTCTCCGAGGACGCCTCGGGCGGTCGGGACCTCGAGGGGAAAGCCGCGCGTTGACGCACCCTGCGCTGAGCCCCAACCCAGGATTCCGAGGTCACCGCTCGGTCGCGGAACTCCAAAGGGTAACTCGGCGGCGAGCGCGGGGGGAAATTAAAAGGAGAAGGCCTTCTCAGAAGGCGGCGGGATTTCTCAGAAGCCCTCGCAGAAGACTTCTCAGAAGGCCAGGGGACTTCCGAACCTTCTCTGCCAGATTGCTGGGGGCACGCCTCGCAACTGCAATGGCGCGGCCCACCGCCTGCGCAGCGCCCCCGCCGCGGCCGCCGCCTCGGCTGGCAACCGCATCGGCGAGGGCACCGCGCAAACCCCAGGCCTTCTCCTTCTCACTTCCCCCCCTCGCTCGCCGCCGAGTAACGACCGCTGGGGGGCACCCCGACGGTCGCCAGCCTCGCCTCGGCTGCGCACCGGGCACCGGGCACCGGGCACCGGGGGGGGAGCGGTGCGGCGCCTTCGCGTCGGCACGTGGCGCTGGCCTGCGGCTGGGCTGTCGACGGGGGAGGCGCACCCCCCTCCTCCTCCTCCTCCTCCTCCTCCTGTTCCTCCCTCCTCCTCCTCCTCCTCCTCCTCCTGCTCCTCCTCCTCCTCCTCCTCCTCCTCCCTCCTCCTGTCCTCCTCCTCCTTCTCCGCTCCTCCTCTCTCCTCCTCCTCCTCCTCCTCCTCCTCTTCCTCCTCCTCCTCTCCTCCTCCTCCTCCTCCTCCTCGTCCTCCTCCTCTCTCCCTCCTCCTCCTCCTCTCCTCCTCCTCCTCCTCCTCCTCCTCCTCCTCCTCCTCCTCCTCCTCCTCCTGGGCACTGAGCACTGACGACGAAGAGCACGGCCGACAGCATCAGCCAAAAGGGGGAGGACGATAGCGGGGGGGAGAGGCGGCACGGTGGGCTGGCGAGGGCAGCGCGGGAGAGAATCGGAGGCCACGATAGGGGCGAACAGCCCAGGGGGGAGCAATACGTCGCCGTTCGGTGAGGCTCCCGGGCGAATACGTGTAACGCCCGCCCCTCCGTCATTCGCCCCTTATCGTCGCCCCCGAGAGAAGAGAGCGCGGCGGGCCCCAGAGGGGAGGCCGAGGGCCGGAGGCCCCAGGCACCCGGCCTGGCCTCTTCGCCCTGCGCGGCTGGCGGGCCCTGGGGCGCTCCGCTGCGCGCAGGAGGCGCGGTGACGGGTGCAGGGCAAGAGCCGTGAACAGAAGTTGGGATATATCATCGATGATATCCGTGGCGGGAGTTGCGACGACGTTCGTAATGCTGTTGACGGTGGGAGGGAGCCAGTGCGGCGTCCCCGGCGGCTGGGCCGCCGGGGTGGGCCGAGGTCGGGCCTGTCCCTCTACAGGAGGGATGTTCAAAAATAGTCACAAGAAGTGGGTTGAGAACGATGTTTCGACTATGTTTGGCTCTGTTCTGTGATTTGTTTAGCACTTTTTTATTTTTCTTCCAAAATCCGCCTGTAGGAGGACATGCCTGACCTAAGGGTAGGTCCTGGAGACCACCGGCTTGACATCTCGAAGGAGAATAAACGGCATAAACATAATTTGTTGGAGCTCCGCGCAGAGTTCTTGGATCTGCGCTGGGCCCCCCCCCTTGCGCACTCGGCGCGCCAGGGAGGGGGGCTCCAGCGCGGAGCCCAGAAATCCGCGCTGACCGGCGAAAGATTTTATACCGTTTCTTGTTCTTCCTAACATCGTCGGGGGTCGCCAGAGCACGTGGACAGTCACCACGAAGCCCGTGACACAGAGGCAGCGAAGGGTGGAATCGTGTAAGTGAGGCGCTGTCGCCAAAGGCCACGAAGCCCAGACCACGGTGGCAATCAAGACTGGGTCACCAGGGTTAAGTCGGGCCTGTCCCTCTACAGCAGGGATGCTCAAAGATATTCAAAAAAATAGTATGGGGACGATTGTTCACTATTTTTGAGCATGGTTTGAATATTTGTTGGTCATGTTTAATTTTTCGCCCAAAATCCCCCTGTAGGGGGACAGGCCCGACCTAACACCCGGGGCGGGACGCGATGGCGAATCAACAAGAAATCCCTCTCAGCGGGGAACTGATTCTGGTACCCTCCAGGCGGCTGTGCATCAGACCCGAAGAGCTATCGCACGGAATCAAGCCAACAGGTACCGCGGAGGTTGGACCTTAAGCCGCGCCAGACCCCACGGACAACCATTCTTAGGACCCAGCAAGCAGGCACATGAACGCCAGTATCCTATGGGCGGGACCTGAGGGGCCACCACTTGGGTGTCGTCGGACTCTGGCGAACAGGCGAACAGTGGTTGCAGTTAGTTCTCTGGAGAGCCAATGAGCCCGTGGTGCAATCACTGGCTTGGAAAAAGTACGATCCTTCCCTCTCCCTCACCCGTCCTCTTCCTGCGGCAAGAGTCTGCTCACGACGTCCTGAAGTCCATCTTGGATCAACGCTTGACGGCCCCAGGGCCCGAAGAGTGCTCCAACTCCGTCCTCCCCCTCCCCCTCCTCGCCCCGCCCAGCGGGGTGCCACGGGCGGGGCCAGGACACGAGCGAGGCCCGGGCCAGCCCGCCCTTCCACATCTCCACATCTCGCTCGTGGGAGCTTCCGATGCCCAGCCTGAGGCTGCAGAAGCCGGGGCCAGCTCCCGATCGCCTCGCCCGCTTCCCCCCGCGCAGCGCCTTATCGCCTCGCCCGCTTCCCCCCGGGCACGTCCCTCCACGGGAGGAGTATTCAAGGATGGTTAATGCGGTGGAGGCGTGCGTTAAGGACTGTGCACAGGAGGTTACAGACCCTGGAGGATTCCTTATCTGATGGGGGGGACGGTGATGTCGACGGCCAAACAGCAGTTGGTGTTCCGCTGGTTTCCAGACCCTGGATTCCCTGTCTAAGGGTTCCTTGTCCAATGCCCCCACCGTAAAAGTCTGGGGGCTATGTTCCATGTTGTTTTTCGCACTTTTTATTTTTCTTCCAAAAACCGCATTTTGGAGAACATGCCGACCTAAACCTATCCCCATCCCCACCGGACCACGGCATCTCAGCCGCCCCATCCCACCGCCTCGGGTGGGGACAGGCCGATCGAAGCCCGCAGGAACAGCTTCGATCCCCATCCAGGGTGGCGAATCGGCCAGCGGGGCACGGGCAACGCCAGAGGGGACTGCGATCGCTGACAGCGATGCTCAGCCCCGCCGCGCGCAAGGGCAAGCGCAGCGCCGAGGCCGCCCTGCGTTGGCGGCCCGCGCAAGGGCGCGCGCAGGGGCGCTGTCTCCGCCGCGTCGGCGTGCGCGCCTTGCTGCCGCCGGGCGCCAGGGCAAGCGCAGCGTGTACGTGCACGACACCGTCTGCACCGGCATCGCCAAGGTGAACGCGGACTACCTCGGCGCCGTGCAGCGCTGGGCCGAGGGAGCCCCCGCCGCCTTGGGGCCCCGCCGCGGTGGGGCCCCCCCGCGCTCGCCGAGCAGAGCCTGAAGAGCGACGCACTCCGTCCCTCCTCCCCAGGGATCTGGCTGGAAAAAGTTAGTACAACGACAGCAACCTTTGGGGTATATCTTTCTTGCCTGCAACGTGTATTTCGTGCAACGCCTACGGCAGGGGAAGGGCGGACGGATAGAAGAAAGGGACAGGGGGGAGGGAGGAGGATGGAGCACGAGAGAGAGAGAGAGTAGCAGGAGAGGGGCTAGGAGCAGAAAACACGTGGTAGAACCAGACGGGCAGATCAGGCGGGCAAACCCATAGCGGGCGGGTCGGGAAGGCGGGCGCAGGCGGCCAGGTCGAGCAGGCGGCTTGCTGAAGCGTGAGACCTGCATGAATCGCGAAGAAGGCTCGAGCGACAGCGTGATTCCCAAGCGAATCGTGAGAAAAGCTAAAGCGAAAGCGTGATTCTTGAATTATTCCCAGGAGTGAGAGTTCAACAACAAGAACAACAACAACAACAACAACAACAACAACAACAACAACAACAACAATAACAACAATCAATGTGAGACTCTTCGCTTACCTGCATGCGCTCCGTTCAAAACGTAGATCGGAAACCCTCGATACCCGCCCTCTTCGTGTTCGATCGTACCCCCTTGGCGGTACATCTTCCTTACCTGCCGCGTGCAATATAGCGCAGCCATGAATTAGGCAGGGGAAGAGAAGACGGATGGAAGGGGAAGGGAGAAGCATGTAGCGCGGGATTCGCAGAAGGTGGTGTCGGAGCAGATAGCACATGGCAGAACCAGACGGCCTGTGATCGGGCGGGCGGACCCTCACGGGCGGGTCGGGAAGGCGGGCGCAAGCGGCCAGGTCAAGCAGACGGGTCGATGAAGCGTGAGTATTGCATGATTCCCAAGTAAACCGCGAAAAAGGCCATAGCGAGAGCGTGATTCCTGAGCGTCGGAGGCGCGGAGTCTGAATGCAGTGCGAGGGAATCCCACGCGAAAGCGCGGTTTGGAATGCACTGTGAGGAAATATCGGGCGGGAGCCGTTGTTGTTGTAGTTCGGGGCCCAACAACACAGTTTGGTAACACCAAGCGTTCCCTAATAACATTACCTTGGCGAAGGACCCGACCATGTGCAGCTGTGAGCACCGCAATCGTGAGTATCAGATTCGGTGGAGCTCCCTATGGGGCACGAACGTGTGAGGGGTGTGCCGACATGGGTGTGGCGGACGCGTGTGGACGGTGCCATTGGGGCCTTGGGTGGAGGTCCCGATGGGGCCACGAAACGTATGAGGGGTGTGCCGAAATGGGTGTGGCGGACGCACGTGGACGGTGCCAGTGGGGCCTTGGTGGAGGTCCCCATGGGGCCAAGAAACGTGTGAGGAGTGTGCCGACATGGGAGTGGCGGGCGCATGT